TGTGTGTGTGTGTGTGTGTGTGTGTGTGTGTGTGTGTGTTTTAATATTCCTCCTCCACACTTCTAGCTTTTGAAATTGGCCAAAATTTTATAGCACGGTACCTGGCAACTGGATTTTTAGTTTATGATCCTGACATTGCATAACAGTTTGTGTCCAAATTATGTATGGAATCAGCTTATTGAGAACTTTTGTTTATTCTGTTTGTAAATCTTTAAATGCCTCTTGTTTTCTTGCCTTCTTTTTTAAAACCCTCCCAACATCTTCACAAGGCATAAATATACAATCTTACAAGTTTTGTAGGCATGGATATTAGAACACAGAAGTTGCCGTTATGTATCTAATAATAAGAGCACAGTTTCAGTGAGCTAGGATTAAAACAGGTTTTCTGGCTGTCTAGCTATCCTGCCCCCCTTTTTTTGGTGTCTTAAGATCACTTGAATAAAGTACTGTTAATATCTTTTATAGAGTACTTAGTATATGATAGCTCTGTTCTGACTACTTCTGTCTATATTAAATTCATAGGACAACCTCAGAGAAAAACTATATTGCTTGAAGACAACAGCTGTTAAATGATGGACTAGGTTTTGGCATCAAACAAGTCAATGCCAGTCAGTATTCTCCACTTGATGCTGTACTGGAAATAGATCTATATGTAACTCAAACTGCTTAAATTTTAAGTGTTTCTGTTGCTTTTAGGTAAGGTTAGCTTTTTCTGACAAGTAAAGTCTATTGAGGTAGTTATTTTCAAACAATATTTCTTTTATAAAATTCTTGTTTTAAATAAGGTCTTTAATTCTTACAGGCATAAGGGCTACTTGTTCTGACATTATTTTGAGGCAAGAATTTTTGAAAGATGGTTTCCACAGGTAAGGTGCCTACTAATTTCTACATATATTAAAATACTGTCTCATAATTTATAGCAAAAAATTGATAGTTGAAATATGGATGGATGAAAAATCTTTAAAAAAAAAGGCTCAGCCTGGCATGGTGGTGCATGCTTTTAGCCCCAGCACTCAACAGGCAGAGACAGGCAGATAGATCTTGTGAGTTCAAGGCCGGCCAGGTCTACATAGTGAGTTCCAGGACAGGTGGGGCTTCAGGGAGACCCTGTCTCACAGAGCCAAAAAACAAACAAACAAACAAACAAAAACCAAGGTCTCATATAGCCCAGGCTGTCCTCAAACTCAGTATGGTAGCTAGGATAACCTTGAACTCTACATCCTCCTATCTCAGCCTCCTGAGTGCTGGGATTACAGGCATGAGCGTCTATGCCTGATGTCACTAATAGATTTATCATATGTGGTTCACACCCTTGAAATGATTGAAATAACAGTGGAGAAAAAATTGCCATGTACATGTCTGCATAGTTTTATGTCTCTAATTTTATTTATTTTTGAGACAAAGTTTTGCTGTGTTGTTCAAGTTGGCTTGGAACTTGCGGCATTGCAATTACTTGTATGTTCTGTGATTCCTGGCTTATTTTGCCTTTTTAAAAAATTGTGCCTTTAACCCCAGCCCTCGGGAGGCAGAGGTAGATGGATCTCTGTGAGATCAAGGCCAGCCTGGTCCACATAGTGACTTCCAGGTGGGCTGGCACTGCAAGGATCCTGTCAAATTTTTTTTTTATTTTTTAGCCTTTAAGATCAAGTGCATTTTGCCCTTTTTTGTGGTAAAATTTTTCTCTTGACCAGATGATTCTAGACTGAGAGCTGCTTTGTCTTCTGGCTCATTCTCTGCTGTTCTCTACATTGCTCTTTTCCTTAGTTAGCATTTGATTTGTTTTTATTGACTGCTGTAACAGGCCTTGGTGACAAGACAGGAAACAGCCAGGATTGTGGTCTTTTTCTGTTGACTGACATTTTTCTGATTGTTGCTCATATTTCCCTGACTGTATGTTTAGTAACATGTGGTAGGATGCTGAACACTATCAAAGCTTTTGATATCAATATTGTTGCTGGTAGATTTTGTTATCTTCATTTAAAGACTATTGGGCTTTTTTTCCAATGACAGTTAAGTTTCTTATTTATCAGCTTGAGCCTATGAAATATTTTGTGTTGTTTTCTTATAAAGAGGCCTTTACCTTGAGGCTTACTTATCTAAGACTTTGTTTCCTAGGGTCTGGACATTTCTGTTGTACGTTTTTTTTTGTTTGTTTGTTTGGTTGGTTTTTTATTTTGTTATAGACAGGGTCTCCCTGTAGCCCCAGCTGGCCTGGAACTCACTATATAGACCAGGCTAGCTCTGATCTTACAGACATCTCCCTGCCTCTGCCTCCTGCTCTCTGGAATTAAAAATGTGTGCTGTCTTATGTTTTGATTGGTTGGAACTTGAATGCCTTCTAATTATGTGTGAAGTTTTGAAATGTTTAACTTTTCACCTCCTTAGTCATTTTTTTGCCTATAATGTTCGTCTTACGGGCTTAGATCTTACTTACGCTTAGTAAGTAAGTAATTCAAGGGGTTTCTGCTAGGATTTCTGGAACTCTGTTTCTTTATATATAAGCTCTTTGGAATCTGGTTCTCACTTCCAGCCACTTTGGTCTTTGGCAGCTTCTGCTTCCTGAAGGCAGACCACCGTGCTTTGCTCTGGATCTCCCACTGTAGCCCAGATTCTGCTTCTGGGCAAAAAGCTGGGACTGTACACATTTAGACTTCGAATCTACTTTATTTTATTTTTTGTTTCATTCGTTTTGAGACAAGGTCTCACTATATAGCTTAAGTTGACTTTGAACTTGCAAAGATGCTCCTGCCTTGGCCTTCTGATTGCTGAGATAATAGGAGTGCACCCTCCCCACACCTTATATATATTTATGAAGTAATCCAAATTTAGTACCGCTGTTAGAAGGTGCTCCCTTCCCCCATCAAATAATGTTGGTTCTTTTATTGAAAATATTAGTATATATGTGACTATTTTAGATTTGTTTCTATTCGTCTTCATCTATTTTTTAAAATTTTATTATTTTTATTTTATGTGTATGCGTGTGTTGTCTGCATGTAGGTAAGTGCACCTATATTGTGCAATGCCTGCAGAGGTCAGAAGAGGCTGTCGGATCCCCTAGGACTGGTGTTTTGGACAGTTGTTAGCTGCCATGTGGGTCCTGGGATCCTAACCTGGGTCTTCTGCAAGAACAACCAGTGTTCTTAACCACTGAGCCATCTCTCCAGCCCTGTCTTCATCTATTTTCAAAAATATTTTAAATTTTTAATTATGTGCATTATGTGTGAGTGCTGATACTCACGGAAGCCAGAGGCATCAAATCCCTCAGGAACTGTAGGTGGTTGTGGGTGGCCCTGATGTGGTTGCTGGGAATTGAACTTGGGTCCTCTGAAAGAGCATAACTGCTGACCCATCTGTCCAGCCTGGCTATTTTTTTTTCTTTTTGGGACGGGGTCTCTGTAGCTCCAGCTGGCCTGAAACTCGCTATGTAGGCCAGGCTGGCCTCAAACTCAGAGATCCACCTGCCTCTGACTCCCAAGTGTTGGGATTAAAGGCGTGCACCACCACATCGGGCTTATCTTCATCTACTCATGCTGTACTGTGGTTTATGATATGAATTATGAAACATCTAATGGATGATCTGTCATGGCATTTCATTTAACATGATAATCTGTGTTTGGAAAATGAATTTGAAATAGCAGTGCCTATGCTATTTGGATAGAAAGCTGTCTTATTTAATAACTGAAGAAATTTACTTTAAATATACTTGTTTTACAGAGACCTTTTAATAAAAGTGAAATTTGGAGAAAGCATTGAGGGCTTACAAACCTGTCGACTCTTAATTAAACATTACATCCCAACAGGACTTTATGTGGATCCATATGAATTGGCTTCATTACGAGAGAAAAACATAACAGAGGTACAGCTATTGGTTTTGTTTTGAGAAATTAATTTAGGAATACCATGATTTTGAAGTAAGGTGAAGTAAGGTAAAATGGTAGATAAAACACTGGGCATGGTGATGAATGCCTTTAATTCCAGCACTTATAAGTCAGAGACAGGTGAATCTCTGTGAGTCCCAGGCTAGCCTGATCTACATGGTGAATTCCCAGACCTACCAAGGCTTCAGAGTGAGACACCTTGTCTTAAAACAAAACAGAACAACAACAAAAAACCAGTTGACAACCACCAAAAAAAAGGTTTTAAACAATTATTATTTTTTTAAATATTTTATTTATTATTTTTATTTTATGTGTAGAAGTGTATTGCCTGCGTGTAGATAAGTGCGCCCATGTCATGCAATGCCCGCAGAGGGCAGAAGAGGCTGTCAGTTCCCCTGGAACTGGAGTTAAAAGACAGTTGTTAGCTGCCATGTAGGTGCTGGGATTTGAACCCAGGTCTTCTGCAAGAACAACCAATGTTCTTAACTGCTGAGCCATCTCTCTAGCCCTTACTATTATTATTTTTTTAAATATTTTTATTCTTCGAGAATTTCATACAATGTATTTGGATCACATTCAGGTCCCCTTCCTCCTCTCCACCCCCATCTTACTACCCCACTTCCCCACTTCATTTCCTTTTATTACTTGTCTTTATTTTTGAAGGCCTATTGAGTCTAGTCTGTGTTCTCCAAATGCTGCTGGTTGTGGGTCTGACCCTTGGAGTTTGGTCAGCCTACCAGGTGTCACACAAGTAATGAAAACTCACTCTTCCTGTGGCTATCAGTTGCCATTGGTTCCTCACCTAGGACTGGGGATTTCTTGCCTGCCTCCCCCATCCATGCTAGGTTTTGTCTGGCTTGGGCTTGCACAGGTCTTGTGTATGTTTTCACAGTTGCTGTGAATTCAAATGAATAACTGCCCTGCTGACTGGAAAACAGTGTTTCCTTGTAGTCATCTACTACCTCTGACTCTTACAGTCTTTGCACTCCCTCTTCTGCAGTGATTCCTGAGCCTTGGGAGGAGAGGGTGTAATATGGGTTCCCATTTAGGGCTGAGCACTTTGTAGCCTCTTATTCTCTGCACATTGACCAGTGTGGGCCTCTGTTAATCTCCCATCTGCTGTAAAAAGACACTTAGCGGGTGAGAATTGAGGGTTGTACTAATCTATCAGCAGTTTCTATTATTTTTATAAAATTGTAGAAAATATTTTGTGTGAGTGTGCCTATGTATGCTCTGGGCCACAGCGTGGGTATGGAGGTCAGAGGACAAGTTCTACCATGTAGGTCCCAGGAATGGAATTCAGGTTGTCAGGCTTTGGGGCCTAGAACAATTGGATTTTCATGACTGAATATTCAGGAGATAAAAGAAGGTATACAGTGATAAAGCCCACACCTCTAGTTTCCAAATTCTTTTTTGTGCATTGTGGCAGCTTTTATATAAATACACATTTGGAACAACTTAATTTGGTTCTTATTTTAACTGAATTTTAAATTCCAATTGAACTTTTACAATTTAAAATAATAGGTTTCAGATTTAGACACAGTTTTTCAAACTGAGGATTAGAATCTTGTTTAAAGCTATTTAAGTAAAATCACTTATTGTATTCTAAGAAAATGGAATTTTTGGGATTACAGTATCCGGCATGAATTTAAAGCCTGCCTGGGCTACATAACAAGAATCTGTCTCCAACAAAAGGAGGAATTATGTAAGCACGATGGAAATTATGACCTATATTGAGGCAATAAGGTGCTAATTAAAACCCACACCAAACTGACCCACTTGTTAAAATTAATAAGGCTTTCCAATGAAACAGTGGTTATAACTATATTCAATATGTTCAAGTAAGAGACATGGAAGATATTTTTTTGAAAGACAACACTGAACCTCTAAAGATGAGCTCTTAGTACGTGAGATGACCAATACTCTGGATGAATTAGTGACAGATCACAAATTATAAAAGAAAAGATTAATGAAGATAACAATAGAAACTACTAAAAATGTAAAACAGATAAAAACTTTAAAAGGTAAATGGAGTATTAGTAAATTATATAACAACGTCAGGTGGTCTATCATATACGCAATTGGCATATCCAAGCAGTTAAAAAAAATATAGAGCCGGGCGTGGTGGCACACACCTTTAGTCCCAGCACTCGGGAGGCAGAGGCAGGCGGATCTCTGTGAGTTCAAGGCCAGCCTGCTTTACATAGTGAGTTCTAGGACAGCTGGGGCTACAGGGAGACCCTGTCTCAAAAAGACCAAAAAAATAAATAAAAAATAAAAAGAAGGAACAAATACTTGAAGACATAATGGTGGAAGAGTTTGGAGATACAGCTCAGTTGGTAATCCCTACTTAGCACACATGACGCCCTGAGTTTCATCCCTCACACTGTATAAAGCAGGCATACCTATAATCCCAGTACTTGGGAGACAGAGGCAAGAAAGTCAGAAAGTAAAGGTCATTCTCAGTTACATAATGAGTTTGAGGCCAGCCTGGGCTACATGAGACCCTGTCTCAACAACAGTAACAGCTGGAGAGAGAAAGAGTTGGGGAGATGGGTCTGTGGGCAAAATGCTTACCAAGCATGTTTGAGGACTTAAGACCATACTAGCCAAATTGTCAAGCTCTGGGTTCACATTAGAGATTCTGCTTCAATATATAAGGTGGAGAGTGATTGAGAAAGACATCTGACATCAACCTCTGACCTTCACATGTATATGCACCCCCTCAATGTGAACATGCACACCTCCACTCATCACACATACATGTTTAAAAAAAAGAATGACTGAAAAAAAATACTTGAATTTATGATAGCTATCAACCTAACCTGTATGTATAAGATTCTTAAGTAGGGAGCTGGAGAGATGGCTCAGTGATAAAGAGCAGTGGCTGCTCTTACAGAGGACCTGGGTTTGATTCCCAGCACCCTCAAGGCAGCTAACAACTGTAACTCCAGTTCCATTGAATTTGACACTGTCCTGTAGCCTCCATAGGCATTCATATACATGGCACACTTACACACATGCAGGCAAAACACATAAAATAAAAAATAAACCAAAAATAAAAAGATTCTCAAATAGAAGAAATATGAAGAAAATTACAGTAAGGCACATGGACGATGTCCTACTTTGTTTCTTCATTGCTGTGACAAAATACTCTGACCAATACCAACTTGGGGACTAAAGGGTTTATGGAAAGGGTTTATTTAGCCTACATATCCTGGGTCACAGTTCATCCAGGAGCCCAAGGTAGGAACTGAACTCCAGGCAGGAACCTGGAGGCAGGAGCCGGAGCACAGGCCATGGAGCAATGTTGCTTATTGGCTTGCTCCCCTGGCCCCTGCTCAGCCTGCTTTCTTATGCAACATAGGATCACCTACCCAGGGGTGGGACTACCCACCATGGGCTGGGCCCTCCCACATCACTCATCAAGAAGATGACCCTCAGACATGGCCACAGGCCAGTCCAATAGAGGCAATTCCCCAACTGAGGCTTCCTCAACCCAGGTGTGTCAAGTTAACACTAAAGCTATCCAGCACAGCAGCTAATTTTATACCAGCAAGAAGATCTTAAAAGGAGCAAGAGGAAAAGATTATTATAGAGAAAAATATGTAGGAGTAATGCAAATAAGACAGTACAGAATCATCTTTGAAATGCTGAGAGAAAACCTCTAAATTTTGAATTCCAAAATAACAGAATTATGTTCACTAAAAATATCTTTCAAAGTTAAGAGGAAATGAAGACTTTTTCAGACAAAGCTGAAAGAATATCACACCTTCACTGCAGGAAATATTAAAGCAGCTCCTTCAGGCAGAAGGAAAATAATACCAGGTGAAATCTAGATCAGCACCCAGGGAAGGACACAGCTTAAAATGGTAACAAAATGAGTAAAATACACAAGGTTGGTTGGTTTGTGGGTTTTGTTTTTTGTTTTTTGTTTTGTTTTTTTGGTCTTATTGAGATAGGGTCTCCCTGTAGCCCCAGCTAGCCTGAGAAATGATAAGAACCCTAAAGTTGTCACAAAAATAACCAAGAATTGTTCATTTGTCAGTAAAATGAAATTATTTTTAAAAGATCAGTTAATCCATAGAAGGCAGAAAAAGTTGGTAAAGGGAACAAGGAACAGGTGTTTCTAATGAAGAATGAATGACAAGGTGATGGATTTAAGCTTAATGATGTTAATAGTCATTTAAATATAAATAGCTAAATTTCTCTATTTAAAGGTAGAGACAGACTATCAGATTACATAGGAAAGCAAGATTCAACTGCTTGTTGCTCAAGGAATTGTATTTCAGATTTGCATTTGTAAGTTAAAAGTAAAATGATGAGCATGGTGGCTTACACCTATAATTTTAGCATCCAGGAGGCTGAGGCAGGAAGATCTTGGGGACTAAGGCCAGCCTGAGCTACATACATACACAGAGTAAAGTAAATGGAAAAAGTATGTAGAAGCTGACCAAAATAAAGCTGGATTTTAGAGCAAAGACAGTCACTAGTTGTAGGAAGGTCATTTTGATAATTGGATCAATTCATCTGAAGGAAATAGCAGTTGTAAACAGTTATGTACTGAAAACAGAGCTTCAAAATACATGAATGAAAAGCATTGTGTTTTAGTTGGAGATTTATATACTTTAATTACAATTGGAGATTTCAGTGCCTTATC